TCCAGCAAATATGTGGAAAAGTCTTAAAAATATCACTGGTTACAGCAAACCTCCTTCCCATGCAGAAGGAAATTGACAACTGGCAGATGACCTGAATGTGTTTGATTGAGGATTTGAGAGGAAAGCACAACAACAGCCAAGCCTCCTATAACTAACCCCATCCCTTTGGAAACCCCCCTCCCCAATCTCTGGTGATCACAGAAAATGATATATTTTCTGTGGTCTATTTAGACCAATAGAAATGGTCTATTTCACAAACAAAAACCTGGAAAAGAACCCCGCCCAGACAAGATAATTCCTTCTTGCTTGAAAGCCTGTGCTGTCCAACTGGCCCCCATCTTCACCCACATCTTTAATAAATCACTAGAAATGTGCTATGTTCCTTCTTACTTCAAATGTTCTACTATCAACCCAGTGCTGAAGAAACCTTCCATCAAGGAACTGAATGACTACAGACCGGTTGCTCTGAAATCCGTAGTTATGAAAACCTTTGAAAGGCTAGTGCTGGCCCACCTGAAAACCATCACAGATCCGCTCTTCACCCCCTTGCAATTTGCCTATTGAGCAAATAGATTGGCAGATGATACTGTCAATATGGCTGTTCACTACCTCCTACCCTGTTTTCCCCAAAATAAGACATCCCCTGATAATAAGCCCAATTGGGCTTTTGAGGGCATGGCAATAGGGCCAAGCGCTTATTTCAGGGTTCAAAAAAATATAAGACAGAGTCTTATTTTGGGGAAAACACAGTACAACATCTTGAATCTCCAAAGACCAATGCAGACTTCAACTCGGCATTCAATACAATCATTCCAGATATTCTTCTAGCTAAACTAAATCAGTTAGCTGTGCCTGACCACATTTGTAAGTGGATCATAAGCTTTCTAACAGACAGGAAGCAGCAAGTGAAGCTAGGCAGAATCACATCAGATTCTAATTACCACAGGACCCCCAGGACTATGTGCTATCTCCACTTCTCTTCTCTCTATATACCAATGACTGCACCGCAAAGGATCCCTCTGTTTTAAATATTGAAGTTTGCAGATGTTACAACAATGATTGCTCTCATTGGAGACAACAATGACTCTGCATACAGACGGGAGGTTGAACAACTAGCCTTGTGGTGCAGCCAGAACATTCTTGAACTGAACACACTTAAAACTGTAGGAATGATAGTAGATTTTAGGAGAAGCCCTCCTATTTTACCATCTCCTACAATACTAGACAACACAGCAACAACAGTAGAAACCTTCAAGTTTCTAGGTTCTATTATATCTCAAGACTTAAGATGGACACCTAACATCAAATACATCATCAAAAAAGCACAACAAAGAATGTTCTTCCTGTGCCAACTCAGAAAGTTCAGGCTGCCCAAGAAGCTGGGGATACAGTTTTGCAGAGGAATTATTGAGTCTGTCATCTGTACCTCTATAACTGTCTCGTTTGGCACTGCAACCAATCAAGACAAACACAGAATTCAATGGACAATTGCTACCAATCTGCCCTTTGTTGAGGACCTGTATACTGCACGAGTCAAAAAGAGGGCTGTGAAAATATCTACAGACCCTTTGCATCCTGGACATAAACAGTTTCAACTTCTACCCTCAAAACTACACTATAGGGCATTGCACGTCAGAACAACAAGACACAAGGACAGTTCACCCCCCCTCCCATGCCATCACTGTCCTAAACAACTAATTCCCACAACACTGTCAAACTATCTAAAAAGGCAATATTACCATCATTATCCTCATCTTCCCTATTACCTAATCTCCTTATCTTCTTATGACTACAACTTTGTTGCTTTATCACTATTCTTGTATGTACATTGAGAGTTTACGCACCGGAAACAAATTCCTTGTGTGTCTAATCACACTTGGCCAATAAAGAATTATATTCTATTAATGTATTAATTATATTCTATTAATGTATATCTAGTAATTATAGGTATCAATTAGAGTAATCAATGCCCTGGGATGAGGCAAAGATAAAACATGCAGGTCCAAGGTTTGTTTGCAACAATTAAATAATGCTTTTTAAGACAGTATTCAAGAAGTGTTTTCAGGAAACGTCAAATAAATTAAACAAACTAACAAATTAAAATGGCAGCCATGGCAGTGCAATCCAAACCCCATTTCATTTGAACATGTATTGATGTCGCAGAAAGGCTAGGCTATCTGGAATCAAATTTTGCATTCAATCCTGCCAAGTGAGAAGTAATCAGCAGCAGACCTAATGAAGATGAAAAGTAGACCTGGACATCATTTAATTAAAGGTAGTATCTGACCTCATCATCTTTGTTGATTATTCCAATAAAATCATGTGGTGGTGGTGGGGTACAGAATGGAACTGTATGCCCTGCAGTATAAAAACCAAAGTGGAACAGAAATTTCCCAATACAACCCTTTATCTACTCTCAAGGTAGTGTCAAAGCTTTGCCTCCAACTGCAATTTACCCAGTTAGTGCAAGAATATGATGATCAGTGAGAATACAATGATATTCAGGAACACTGATAAATCATCATAATTAGGGGTTTTTAATCTTTTTCTGAATCTAATAGTTATCTGAATTTATCCATTATCCATTATCCATTTGATATTACCACTTAGATCTTGTACATGTCTGTCTTTTCTGAAACATGCCTGTTTATTTAACATTTCTTTCTTCTTCTCTGTTGTTTATTCTTACCAAGATCTGAAACAAAAATTTGCTCGTGTGTAAGAAATGACTGCATTGGTTAACATATTCTCTTGAATCTTCATTATGGCTGTATCCCATAACTAATTTTTTACACTTTCTAGCCCACACAGTTTTGTTCCATATTTGCTGCTGTACAGCTAATAGCATTTTAACAACCATTTCTCCTGTACTTTAAATAAGCCTAATGGATAGTCTAATGGGTATTTCATCTGCATATGGTGCTTTCCTGTCTGAGCATTTATTACCTGTCATAGCTCCCTTTTTAGTGGCAGTTCCAAATAGTTGTTGGATATAAAACTCAAATAAGATCATTATAATACCTTGCAAAAGAGCTAGGCAATATTAAATTGAAATTAGTAATGTAATTTTTAAAAAATCTTGAAAATTTAGCTAGAATTTAAACCAGAGACTTTTTGTTAGGGTTTCTGGATAAAACATTGTGGAAAAATCATGTCTTTTTTTTTTAATGTTCACCTTTCTTTTGTGGGAGAAGGACAATGGATATTATATTACAGTTGTAAACTATGAGTTGAATATAAGTATTTTTTATGTCCTTGGAAGAAGAAGTTGGAAGTTATCCTTTGTGTGTGTGTGTGTGTGTGTGTATGTATGTATATATATAATTTCTTTTTCTTTATGCCTCATTGCACCTCTATTCCTATTTTTTTTCTTGATTGTTAGTTTATGTAATTTTTATGGGTACATTTTGTAAAATTTAATACAATTGTGACTCAGATAAAAGCATAGTATAAAACAATTTAGAACATTAGAAACAGTGAAAATGTTAAGCATTAAAATTAAAACATTAAAAGTTAACAAAAAATTAAATAAAAAGGGATCAGTATGTAAATGGGGTGGAGATGGAATCATTCCTAATCTACTTATCACCTCCAGTGTGGGATGCCCCCATAGGAGACCCTTGCCAATTGGCAGAAACAGGTTTTCAGGCCTTTCAGAAGGCCAAGGGGGGTGGTGGCAGATCAAATCAGCTTTATAGAACAAGCACAGTCTGTCCCAGAAAATCCTGAATGTAAAGTAAATCTTGTCAGTGGTACCCCAATAGAATTGTATTCAAGGAGTTTTCTCTTACATTGATTGAATTAAATAGTAAAAACTGGGAAGGTGCAGACAAAGTAAACTGCCTTTCCAGTGGGCAAAATTTTACCCACAAGCACAAGATATTTTTTTTGGAATGTAAACTCCATGCCTATCTTAAATGAGGAAAAGAATATGTACATTTCCTAACAGTGGTAACATGTTGAAGGTTTTGGAAATTTGTATTGCATTTGAACTATTTTGCAAAGTGGTATCAAGTGTTGTTTGCAACTCAAAAAGTAGAGAAAATTAATGTTTGGAAGTGCTTATTTGTGAAAAGTTTTAGAAAATATTGACTTGTTCAGATTCTTAAACTGTTTCCTTAATGCTTGCTGAATTTTGCATAAGTCTTTACTTCAAATAGTAATCTATAATGTGATGCTTCAGTGTATCACTTCAAGTAGAAATACTGTAAGACAATTTAAACAAAAAACTGTCTCCTTGGCTGCTAATTTTTTTTCATAGAAAAATACTCAGTGATGTGAACATTGAAGCACCTATAGCCTAGACATATATTTTCTACCTTATTCTCAATGAACTTTCAGTTATTCTTGTCAATGATTGTCTTCTCATAGTTTCGCTATTCTGTGGCTTTCCTCATACCATCCATCCATATTTACATATCCTGTAAATATTAGTATTAGTTCCATAGAAATGTAGTCAAGTTTTAATTTCTCAGCTCACGGAGTATGTATTTCCTTTGGGTCTGGGGTGCTATTCGACAGGTTCTGACAGGTTCTGACAGGTTCTGGAAAACGGATAGCGGAAATTTTGAGTAGTTCAGAGTAGTTCTGGCTGGCCCCAGAGTAGGGTGGGAATGGAGATTTTGCAATATCCTTCCCCCAGGAGAGGGGAGGGAATGGGGGATTTTGCAATATCCTTCCCCTGCCACGCCCACCAAGCCACGCCCACAAAACCGGTAGTAAAAAAAATTTGAATTCCACCACTGCTTTGGGTGCATTGTGAAACTTTTTATATTTAAAGCATTTTTTTTCCTTTAAACAAATCTGATCCTTTAACTAAATCTAACATTTATTTTTAGCAGTTTATAGATATGTTATTACACTAATGATAAACTACTTCAACAATGATTACTTCAGGTGCACCAAAATAGATTCAAATCTGACTGGAATGACATCCTACTGCCACGTGTTTCTTTCAAAAGCCACATTCTATCACTGTTTTCCTTCACTGTTTTTCTTAGCTGTTCACCTTTGGTTGGAGAGAAGACATCCGTCCAGGCGAACCTCTTCACACCCGAAAATTCTGCTTCGATGCAATTTCCCACAGTAGTCCTGTCACACTTTATGACTGTCATGGTATGAAAGGCAACCAGCATTGGAGCTATAGGAAGGTTGGTCATGCTTTGTGATACTTTAAAGGCATGTAGTGATCCAGATAATTATGTAGAGGTTCCAAAGTCCATGTTAGCAGAATCAATACTGAAATTTTTAAATTTTTAACAGTTTATTTAAAAAATGCTGCTTGGTGTACAAAAAGTAATAATGACAAACTTAGTGTGGACAATAATTGGACAAAATACATTAGATCCAACTATGTGAAATCAAATCCCAAATACATCCTTACACACTTTACCCAAATATAATAATAAATTTACTGTGTGGGTTACATACTTTATAACATTTTCAGTAATAGCAATAACACTTAGACTTGTATACCACTTCATAGTGCTTTATACCCTTCTCTAACTGGTTTACAGAATCATCATATTGCCCCCAACAATCTTGGTCCTCATTTTACCAACCTCAGAAGGATAGAAGGCTGAGTCAAACTTGATCTGATGAAGATTGAACTCCTGGTAGTAGGCAGAGTTAGCTTGCAATACTGCATTCTAACCAGTTAGAATGATTAGCTTTATGGTGAACTTTCATGTTTAATGGTAATCTTACACCTTTGCTTAGGTGGGGATGGTTTTAGCAACAACATTTACGGTAAAAGAAAAATCCCTTTTGGCAATTGGATAAAGATGGGGTTAAGATTAGATTTCCCTACAGTTTATAGAAAATGTAGCATGTTAACTTAAATATGATTTTGTATCATTAGTAAAAGTCTTAGGTTTATACCATTTTTTTAAATTATTTTTTATTATGCAATTTTCTTTGTTATATATAAATTTTCCACATTCACAATAGCAGTGTACAGTCTGGGTACAATCTCTTTTAAATACACATAATAAATCTTATATACACAATAATTATGACTGTTATTCTCAAAATCTATTCGCCATGGTCTTCGCTTATCCTTGTTTAAACATTTTCCATTGTTTAATTAAACACTCTGTTCAGTTTTGTCGATAATCAATTAATAATATCAGACATTATAAACATCATGTAAACATCACATTTATAACCATTATCCTCCTAGTCTATTAATCATAATGTTTACTTATTCTAATTATTCAATATTCATTATTTAATTACAATTACTTAATCTTTGTTACATATCCTCCTTGATTCTAAGTTTCTAACTTCTGCTTCTATTTTCTAACCATTAATAGTTCCCAAGTTAAAAAGTAATATTTTCCCCATTTCTAGTTTCTACCTCTATACTAATTTTTAATAGAACAACTCCTATATTAAACAGCATTCTATATTCTATAAACAGCATTCTATAATATTCTATATTAAACAGCATTCTATATCCCTCATCTCTTGCCCGTTTACCTATCTCATCTCTTATTGACTTCTTGGCACATCTCCCAAACTCCTCCCTTGGGGTCTTATATCTTCTTATATCATTCATGTTTAATCTGAGCATTTCATCTGCCTCTATGGCTTCTTCACTCTGTTGGGCCTTCAGTAGACCTTTCAATGATCCTTTCCTCATTTCAGGGGTGTCTTTCCATGTATCCTCTTCTGTTTTTTGATCTCTTAAAGCAGGGGACCTCAAACAAAGGCCCACGGACCAGGTACGGCCCACTGACACAATGTATCCGGCCCACGCAGTGGTGGGATTCAGTCCTGCTCTGCCCCCCGCCCCACCACTCCCACCCACTCCTCACATGGCTGGCTTTTCCTGGCTGACAGGGGCCCGGGGAAGAGGTGCATCACCTGCTGTGGCTGCCACAGAGTCTGGGGGACAGTCAGAGACTCCGCAGCTGGCCCTCCAAGAAACAAGCAAGGTGGCAGTAGCACTTGCATCAGCAGCAGGCAGAGGGCCGGGGGCAGGTGAGGCACATGATATGGATCACACGCCTGCTCCATCCCATGTGGCTGGGACAAGGCACATGGTTGTCCAAGGTATCCAGCCCGCGGGACCGCATTTCTCTCCCCTGTGCCTCTGTCTTCGGCTACTGCTCCCATTGCGGGGGAAGACAAGGTGAGGAGGAATGGCTGCTGCCTACTCCCTCCCATCTCTTTTGGCTTGGAGTTGGAGATCAGGTCACCACTGGTCATCTCCTTGGTCCCTTCGTGGGTCTTGCCCTTGGCCTGTGCATGATGCGTGTTCCCCTCGGGCACCCAACTGCAGCAGTGGGTGCATGAGAGGGGTGCTTTGCCAGCAGACCCTGCAGGAAATGGGGGAAAGCCTGGCATTTCCCTGTCTGCTACCAGACAGAACACGCAGCGCCCGGCCAGGCTTCCCTGAAGCGTCGTGGAGGGGGGGTTGGAAGTGGCGCTCACCCCAAGGCTGGAGGAAGAGAGCCTTTGAGCCTCAGGCACCAGTTTGGGTAGCGCCCTGCCAACTCACCCACTCAAGCCTGGCTACTCACGAGTCGCACCTTCCCGGAATTTGGCTGCAACCCTCCCTCTCCAGTGGCGGAGACGGCTGTCCTCTTTCAGGAGCGGGCAGCCGAGTGGGAGAAGGACGGGTAGCCAAGCGATGGTGGGGGGGGAAGGAGAAGGCAGCAGCTGTTGCAGCATCCACTCCCTAGCTCACTTGCCTCTCGCCAGTCCCACTTCGCCAACAGGCACACGAGCTCATGCGGTGGGGGGGGAAGGGCTGCAAGGCAGAAGGGTGCCTTCAGTCCAGGGAAGGGACCACAGGTGGAGCTGTGTCACTTGGGCAGCGCCCCAAAAGTGCTGTGGAGCTGCTGCCTCGCAGGACAGGGCAGGGCGCTGCTCTCCCTGCTGAACAGCCCCAGTGAAGGAGGCACATCATCGGGGGTCTCTACCCCTGGCAGCTCCTGGGTGGCAACTCCGCCGCCACTCAGCAGACTCATGCAGCCTGAAGGAGGCGAAGAGGCCAGTTAGAAAGGCGTGTTCCTCTCGCGCACCACCGAGGCTGTCAGCAGCTTGCACAGGTCCATTAGGCTGCGGCCACAAGTGGGGAAAGCTTTATCCCCATCAGTGCTATGGCTGCCCAAACCCAGCCAGGATTGCATTCCTCCCCCCCCCATCTCTGCTGGGCCTGGGCAGCCAGGGCTCTGATGGGGACCTAGCTTTCCCCACTCGTGGTGGCCGCAGCCTAATGGAGTTGGGCAAGCTGCTGACAGCCTCGGTGGTGAGCAAGAGGAACATGCCTTTCTAACTGGCCTCTTCACCTCCTTCAGGCTGCACGGGTCTGCCGAGTGGTGGCTGAATTGCCACCCAGGAGCTGCCAGGGATAGAGACCCCAGATGATGTGTCTCCTTCACTGGGGCTGTTTGGCAGGGAGAGCAGTGCCCCGTCCTGTCCTGCGAGGCAGCAGCTCCACAGTACTTTCGGGGCGCTGCACAAGTGATGCAGCTCCTTCAGACGGAGCCCCGAGGCTGCAGTCCCTTCCCTGGACTTAATGCAGCCTTCTGCCTTGCAGCCCCACCCCCATCCCGCTGAATCTCCATTCTGAGCTTGTGTGCCTGTTGACAAAGTGGGGGTGGATGCAGCAACAGCCGCCGCCTTCTCTCCCCCCCCCCCCCCCGCCACTTGGCTGCCCATCTTTCTCCCACTTGGCTGACAGAGAAATGGGAAGGAGAGAGCGAATGGAATGGAGCAAGGTTTCTCTTCCCCACCCCCATTTGCTTTTGTAGGAACTGTCTCTTTCCTGACAGAGAGATGGGAAGGAGAGAGCTAATGGAATGGAATGGAGCAAAGTTTCTCTTCCCCACCCCCATTTGCTCTTGTAGGAGCTGTCTCTTTCCTGACAGAGAGATGGGAGGGAGAGAGCGAATGCAATGCAATGCAATGCAATGCAATGCAATGCAATGCAATGCAATGCAATGCAATGCAATGCAATGCAATGCAATGCAATGCAATGGAGCAAGGTTTCTCTTCCTCCCCCCATTTGCTCTTCTAGGAGAGAGAGAGAGGGAGGGAGGGAGAGGGAGAGAGAGGATGGATGGACGGATGTGGATTGTAACCTCCTTGGGGCTGAGAAGAATTGATGCAAAACTGAGTTTTCTGAAGTGGACCACTAGACTTGTAAACAACTTAAAAAATAATCTAGTAAAAAGAAAGCAAATAAAACAGTCCCAGGAGGAAAGCAAATTAAAGTTTCATTTGTGTGTATTATTTAATGGACTGCTAAATTGGCAAAATGGACTGCTAAATTGACCATGCCCACCCAGCCACACCCACCCAGTCACATGACCACCTAGTCATGCCCACCCAGTCACATGGCCACCAAGACACACTGACCCAGTCACATGGCCACCAAGACACGCCCACTGTCACATGGGGGGGCAACCACACCCACCTAGCCAGTCTGGCCCCCCAACAGTCTGAGGGACCCTGAAGTGGTCCCCCGTTCAAAAAGTTTGAGGACCCCTGTCTTAAAGTGTAATTTTCCTTTTCTATCTCATCAGCTTTCACTATCTCTTCTTTTTCTTTTTGCATCATTTGTCGTTTTTCCTCTCCCCTCCTTTCTTCTGTTCTTTCTATTCTCTACCTCCTGGATTTCATATTCATTATTCAGTGTCATTTGCTCATAATTTTCTGGTCTCACAACTACATCATGTATCAATTCCTTTATCTCCCTATGGCTCCTTGTCATCATTTCATACCTTGGAGCATCAATAATATTTCATTTAATAATACACTTATTTCCCCCTGTTGTACCATTTTGCCTTATTTTAGTGAATTGAAAAGTTACTATCTATCACAAGCAATCTATCAAGATCCCAATGTCCCAATTATTCATCACACCAAGAAAGCCAATATTAGAGCAGTTCACGCTATACCTCGAACCGCTATATCCCGTCACAGGGAGGTGGAGCCGGTAAAATGGTTCCGCCCCAGGCGCCTGATGGAACCTGATAGATTCCAGATGGAGCTTGGGCCATTTGCTGAGGCTCTGGCACACGCCTCGACTAGGGACCTAGTGGCCGCCTGGGATAGGGCGGCTGCTGGAGCTCTGGATCGGGTCGTGCCTTTGCGGCCTCTGACCCAGCGCCAATCTCACCTAGCTCCTTGGTTCACTGAGGAGCTGAGGGAGATGAAGCACTGGAAAAGACGTCTAGAGAGTAGTTGGAGGGCCAGTCTTTCTGAATCCGACCGGACACTGCTAAGATCTCATATTAAGAATTACCTAGTGGCAATGAAAGCAGCAAAATGTACATATTTTGCTGCTCTTATTGCATCATCAGATAATCGCCCGGCCGCTCTGTTTAGGGTGACCCACTCCCTGCTCCACCAGGAAGCGCGGGAGGACCCCTTGGAGGGTAGAGCCGAGGATTTTGTTCAATATCTGTATGACAAAATCACTCAGATTCGGGAAGATCTGGACTCCGACTGGATAGTTCCAGGGGGGTTGACTGAGGCAGGTCTTGAGAATGTTATCTGGGATGAGTTTGATCCTGTGACCCCTGACGACGTGGACAGGATTCTGGGTGGACTGAACGTGACCACATGTTTATTGGATCCGTGCCCCTCCTGGTTAGTGCTGGCTTCCCGGGAGGTGACGCGAGGCTGGCTCCAGGGGATTATAAATTCTTCGTTGGGTGAGGGTGACTTCCTCGCCACCTTGAAAGAGGCGGTGGTGAGGCCTCTCCTCAAGAAGCCTTCATTGGACCAGGCAGTGTTGGCTAATTATCGTCCAGTCTCCAACCTTCGCTTTGTGGTGAAGGTTATTGAGAGTGTGGTTGCGCGACAGCTCCCCCAGTACCTGGATGAAACGACGTATCTGGATCCGTTCCAGTCGGGCTTCAGGCCTGGGTACAGCATGGAAATGGCATTGGTCGCATTGGTGGATGATCTCTGGAGGGCTCGGGACAGGGGCTGCTCCTCTGTCCTGGTCCTATTAGACCTCTCAGCGGCTTTTGATACCATCGACCATGGTATCATGCTGCACCGGTTGGAAGAGTTAGGGGTGGGGGGCACTGTATTACGGTGGTTCTCCTCCTTTCTCTCCGACCGGTTGCAGTCTGTGTTGGCAGGGGGACAGAGGTTGACCCGGAGGCCCCTCATATGTGGGGTGCCACAAAGGTAGGTCCTCTTGCTCCTTTTGTTCAACATTTATGTAAAGCCAGTGGGCGAGCTCATCCGTGGTTTCGGGGTGAAGTACCACCAGTACGCTGATGACACCCAGCTGTACATCTCCACCCTGGACCACCCCAACGATGCCCTTGAAATGATGTCCCGGTGTCTGGAGGCCGTGCGGATCTGGACGGGAAGGAACAGGCTCAGGCTCAACCCATCCAAGACTGAGTGGCTGTGGTTTCCGACATCCCGATATAGTCAGTTGACTCCATCGCTGACTACTGGGGGCAAATCGCTGGCCTCCACGGAGAGTGTCCTCCTGGATTCACGGCTGTCTTTAGAAGAGCACTTGACGGCCGTGACTGGGAGGATTTTTCATCAGGTTCGCCTGATTCACCAGTTGCGTCCCTTTCTGGATCGGGACTCCCTACACACAGTCACTCATGCCCTCGTCACTTCCCTCCTGGACTACTGCAACGCTCTTTACATGGGGCTCCCCTTGAGGAGCACCCGGAGGCTCCAACTGGCGCAGAGTGCGGCCGCGCAGGTGGTTATGGGAGCAACATGGCACTCCCGTGTGACACCTCTCCTGCGCAAGCTGCACTGGCTCCCGGTAGTCTTCCGGGTGCGCTTCAAGGTTTTGGTTACCACCTTTAGAGCACTCCATCACTTAGGACCTGGTTATTTATGGGACCGCCTACTACCACAAGCAGCCTCCCACCGGCCGGTACGCTCTCATAGAGAGGAGCTCCTCCAGGTGACGACAGCTAAACAATGTCGACTGGCGGCCCCCAGGGGGAGGGCCTTCTCTGTGGGGGCACCCACTATCTGGAATGAGCTCCCCCCAGAGATACGGAGGATCCCGGATCTACGCACTTTCCGCCGTGCTCTTAAGATTCTTCTATTCCAGCAAGCCGGCCTGGCCTAATTTTCTCCCCCATTTTAAAATTCTTTTAAATCGAAATTTTAATCTGTTTTAAATTATTGGGATTTTTTTAATTGTCTCGGGCTAAATTATTTAATCTGGTTTTAATTATGTCTTTTAACTTTTGTATCTATGTATTTTATTTTGTGCCTGTTCACCGCCCTGAGTCCTTCGGGAGTAGGGCGGTATATAAATCTAATAAAACAAACAAACAAATAAACAAAATCACTCTATTAAATAGTCCATTAGCAACCTTCACTTAGTTTCAAAACAAATCCTGTCTGTTTCCCACTCTCACACTGTCCAGCATATATGTAATACTCAAGGTTCTAAGAGTTAAATGTTTTCAGTCTGTCTCCAAACACCAAATATAATCAATTTGCAAGTGTTGTTTAGTGTATTCTAGCTAATTTGTAGACTAAACAACTTTCATTCCTTCTTCCACTTTTTTCAGCTCTGTGATGTCTTCTCCAGCAAGAGGTGTCACTGTTACTCTTTTTCTCCATTTTTGCTGCGATTAAATATCTTAAAAAATATTTTCCAATAATTTTCCAAAGTCCTTCAAATCAAGGTGGCAATAGAAGTATAATCCACTATTTTGAAACTATTTAAATTGCAAAAAACTAGCCAATTCAGTGTATCCTTTAAGGTTGCTTCTGTCTGCAATTTCTTGTCTATATTTTGTAATTATAGTAAAGTTAAAGTTAGGTTTCATTAGTTCTATGGTTAATTTTATTATAACGGTTAAAAGAAATTTCATATTTTGAAGTAGCATTAGAGTTTCTTTATATATGATTTGCTTGCTCTATTGTGTAACAAGATGTAGTTAGGATTACACTTATTGAGCTGCATGGTATCAGGATTAGCTTTAGGGAGAGGCTTTGGAGTAAGTTATTTTTAGGTTTCTGGTATAATAAACATTCTATCCTTTCCGTTAAAATACTATTGGCATTTAGTTAGGAATAGGCATATTCTTCCTCCGGATATTCAATATAATAATTTTAAATTCAAATAATAGTCTTATAGTTTTGCAATGTGAAGGTTGCATGCTTCAATTTTAAGCCTAATAAAAATAAGTAATTTTAGAGTTCTTGGCTGCTTCACTGAAATCTAAAGTTACATTTAGTTTGAAGTTAGCTTTAAAGGAGACTTATGTTTGAATAAGTTTTGAATAAAATATTTCTATGGCCATCAGGATGAAGCCTGGATTAGCATTTGACTTACTCCAGGTTTATCAAGAATTTGATTTTAAGAATTACTATTAAGGTGGCTTTTTTGTTTAATGGTAATGATTACCTGTGTTGGTGACACTCAGTAAACTAACTTTACTAATGAAGGCAAAATTTTCTCACACAATAAGCATAAGTACTTTTTCTCTTCCTTGAGATCTGGCATAAATTCATGTTTCAGATTCCATAGTTAACAGCTGATTATGGTTTTAGAGTTGTTTCAGTTTCAATTTCAATTCTATGTTTCAGTAACATATAAGATGAAAAATTACAATTCTCTTTGTATGGAGCTCTGAAAATATTCTTATTCTATGTTACAGACATGAGGAATATCTATGAATTTACCATAGAGATCCGGGGTGTCAAACTCAATTTTATTGAGGGCTTCATCAGGGCTGTGGTTGACCCAAGGGGGGTGGGGTCAGGCGTGGCTGACTGGGTGGGTGTGGCCAACTGAGTTTGGCCAGCTTGATGCCACTCACTAGGTATGGCCGACTGGGGACATGGGCAACTGGGGAGCATGGCCAATTTGATGCCACTTCCCAAACTGCTGGCATGTTTCTTCTTCGCATTGGGTAGACCAGGCCAAAGCTACATTGGCCCGATGTTTCCTCTTTGCATTTGGTAGACTGGGCCAAAGCAACATGGACTGGCCCCTTACATTTTTCAGGACAGCCCTGAGGGCTGGATCCGACCACATCATGGGCTGGATTTGGCCCATGGGCCTTGTGTTTGACACCCCTTATATAGATCATATTTTCATGCTTTAGGATTATAATTACCATTTATCTAAATTGCTGCAACACTCATCCTTGTATCTAATAAAACAACATGCTTTACAGTCCAGAAGTCCCAGATGCCATCTGCATTTAAACATTTTTATAAATCCCCACAAATAGATGGCTTTGTGACTGAAATTGTGTATGATCTTTTAATCTTCATATGTACATAACAAAGTTTTGGAAAACTATGCTTATTTCATTGAAAATGGGAATCCAGCAAGTGACCTTGATTACATTTTTCTTTATAGATCTTAGTGAATGACAGTGGATGGACATGAACTGTGAAATTATAATGCTCCATACTCACTTTTCCATTTCTCACTTTTTAACATCCATCTTCTTCAAATTATTAAAACTACAAACCTATTCACACTTACAAAACTTGGTGGGATGAAACTCATGACTGGAATGTACTGATAGAAGGATATAAATTGTTCCAAAGAAAGAGATCTAACAAAACAAAAAGTGGAATTGCATTATATGTAAGACATCATTACATCTCTACAGAAATGCACAAAACCAAGGATGAAAGTCTCCTAGAATGCACATGGGCTAATATAAAAGGAAAAAAAGAATGACATTGCCATAGGTGTATACTACATAGGCCACCCAAGCAGAAGAAATAGATGAAATTTTTGCTAATCGGTTAACATATGTATGTAAGAAACACACCACAGTAACTTTAACTACCCTGACAACAACTGGAAGATAAACTCAATGTCAACTGGGAGATCGAACAGGTTCCTGATCAATCTACCTGACAATTTGTCATCCAAAAGGTAGAGGAGGGAACTAGAGGGCCAGCTATCCTGGACCTAATTCATACTTACAAAGAAAATGTGACAGAGGGGATTGAATTTGCAGGAAATTGGGGAGAGTGATCATGTTATATTAGAATTGAACCTAATGCAGACACAAGGAGTAGAACTTAATTAAACTAGTGTCTTAAAATTTAAAAGAGCTGTTTTCAACAAAGTTAGAGAGAGCTTGGGAAGAAGCTTAAATATTAATCTTAAAAGGGGAAAACAACTCAAGAAGCTTGGGAAATTCTGAAAAATATGATTATAAAAGCTTAGTTCAGCACAATACCAGTAAAAAAGAAAAATAAGAAATCCAAGAAGAAATCAGCAAGGTTGCACAACGAACTCTCTGATGAACTGAAAGACGAAAAGGATAAGTATAAAAAATTGGAAGAGGAATACATAACTAAGGCAGAATTCCAGCACACAGCCCGAATCTGCAAAGATGAAGTCAGGAAAGCTAAGGTTCGGAATGAACTAAGACATGCAACAAATCTCAAAAATAATTTTTAAAAAGTTTCTTTCAACATATAAAAAATAAAAAAGTCAAAGAAGCAATCAATCCACTAATGGGAGAAGAGGACAAGGAAGTGATAGGCAGCAGGGAGAAAGCAGAAATGCTTACTTCTTTCTTTGCATCTGCCTTCACACAAAAAGAAAAAATAGCCCAACCTACCAAAAACAGAATAGACCAGAATTCAAATTAAAATAGGCAAGAAAATGGTAGGAGAACATCTGTCAAGATGAGTTCAAATGACCAGGACTTGATGGGATTACCTCACAGAGTTCTGGTGGAACTGGCAGATATGATCTTGGAACCATTGAACCATATCTTTCAATGATCCTGGAGCCCTGGGGAACTACCAGAGGACTGGAAAAGACCTGATCAATAACTGGAAAAATCCTGGAAAAGATAATTGAGCAACAGATCTGCCAATACCTAGAATCAAACAAAGTTATAACAGAAGCCACATACCAAAGATCATGTCAAACCAATGTTATTTCATTCTTTGACAAAATGACTAAATTATTGGATCAGTGCAATGCTGTGGACATAGTATACTTAGATTTCAGTAAAGCATTTAATAAACTAGATCACAAATTATTTCTTGGCAAGCTAGAAAAATGTGGGATAGACAGCACCGCCACCAGATGGATTTATATCTGGCTGAAAAATAGTACTCAACATGCAGAAGAGCACACGCACGACCCCGTTGCGAACCAGTAGTAAAGGTAAGTAGAACCCACCCCTGTCCTCAATGGAACTACATCCATATGGAGGAAAGTAAGCAGGGGCTACGCCAAGGTTCCATTTTAGGTACATTAATTTTCAATATCTTCATAAACAATATAGACGAGGGAACAGAAAGGGAAGTCATTGAATTTGCAAGTGACACTAAACTGGCAGGAATAGCCAACACCCCAGAAAACAAGCTCAAGATCCAAAAATATCTTGAGAAACTTGAACACTGGGCCCTATCTAGCAAAATGAAATTCAAGGTAGAGAAAAGTAAAGTTTTTCACTTAGGCAAGAAAAATGAAATGTACAGGTACAGATTAGATGAAACATGGTTCAATAGCAGTAACTGCAAGAGGGATCTTGGTGTCCTAGTGGACCATTGCTTAAATATGAGCCAGCAGTGTGCTGCAACCACCAAAAAGCCACTGCATCCTAGGCTGTATTAACAGATGGATAGTATCAAGATCATGTGAAGTGTTAGTACTGCTTTATAAAGTCTTGGTAAGACCATACTCGGAATACTGCATCCAGTTTTGGTTATCACAATATTTAAAAAAATATGTTGAGACTTGGTAAAGAGTGCAGAGAAGAGCAACAATGAGGATTAGGGAGCTGGAGGCATATGAAGAATAGTTGTAGGAATTGGGTATGTCTAGTCTAGTGAAAAGAAGGACTAGGGGCAACAGATAGCAGTGTTAAAATATTTGATAGGTGGCCATAAAGAAGAGAGGATCAACCTATTTTCCAAAGCACCAGAAGGCAGGACAAGAAGCAATGGATGGAAACTAATCAAGGAGAGAAGCAACCTAGAACTAGGGAGAAAAATTACTAATAGTGAAACAATAACAGCTCGACTTCAGAAGTTGTGGATCTTCCATCACTGGAGCCTTTTAAAAAGAAACTGGACAGCCACCTGTCTGAAATAGTATAAGGTCTCCTGCTTAAGCAGGGGGTTAGACTAGGAGACTTCCAAAGTCCCTTCCAACTCCATTATTCTGTTAAATGTATTAAATTTAGTGGACTTAGACTTTTAAGTAATCATTCATGGGATTACTTACTTACTTACTTACTTACTTACTTACTTACTTACTTACTTAATTACTTACTTTATTTTATTGTCATTGTACCTCGTACAATGAAATTAAATGCCATCCTCAGTGTACATTATAATTATAAAAATAAAACACAAACACACATTCTTCAAATTCTATACAATTGAATTGAAAAATGATATTGCATTAATATTGCACTATACAGTAGAATTCAATATACTTACTGCCCTGGGATAGAAGCTGTTTTTCAGCTTATTTGTCCTTGTTTTTATTATCCTGTACCGACTGCCAGATGGTAATAGTTCCAAAAAAGGGTGCCCAGGATGAGATGAATCTTTAAGAATGTTTTGAAGTGGGAGGTATAAATTTCTTCCAAAGAGGGGAGAGGGCAACCAATGATCCTCTGGGCAGTGACATTAACCTTCTGGAGTGCTGGCCTATCTGCCACTGTGCAATTGGCAAACCATACACAGGTACAGTAAATTAAAATACTCTCTATGGTGCAGCGGTAGAAGGTCACCATCAGTTTTTCATTCAGTTGTTGTGTCTTGAGAAATCTCAAGTAGTATAATCTCTGCTGGGCCCTATTGACCAGTGCTGCAATGTGAGTGCCCCAGGTCAGGTCCTTTTTTATGATAACAGCCAGAAATTTAAAACTGGTCACTTGCTCCACTCAGTCTCCATTGATAAGCAAGGGCTGGATGTCTGATCTATTCCTTCTATAGTCCACTATAAGCTCCTTGGTCTTATTGGTGTTAAGGACCAACTTATTGTTTCCACACCATGAAAGCAACCGGTCCACCTCATCTCGATAGGCAGACTCATCCAGCCCCCTGCCCCCGGAGACGAGTCTCACCACTGTTGTATCATCTGCAAATTTAGTAATAGTATTACTAGCATGAGTGGGAATGCACTGCAGTCATGCACATAAAGAGTATAGAGTAAGGGACTCAACACACGGCATATAAATCAAATTAAAAAAAACACACACACACACAACCCTGTGGTGTACCAGTGTAAAGAATAAGGGCTGAAGAGATATGATTATCTAATCTGACCCTCTGAGAGCGGCCAGAAAGTAAATCCATAATCCAAAGGCAGATTGAATAAGAAAGCCCAAGATTCATAAGTTTAGACACTAATCTATGTGGAAGTATTGTGTTAAATGCAGAGCTAAAATCTACAAAAAGCATCCTCACATAGCCCCCCCTCCCCCCCTCTGTTCCAAATGAGTCAGAGCAGTGTGAAGAGTGATGGCTATAGCATCCTCTGTAGATCTATTTCTTCTGTATGCAAACTGGTGTTTTATCAAATATATGCAGAAGACCAGAAAGCAGACCAATTTCTCAAAGCACTTCATGATCATAGGAGTGCCACCGGTCTATAATTGTTAGGGAACTTCTTTGGCAGCGGAACAATGGTGGAAGCCTTCAAACAAGATGGAATAGTGGACTGGGATAAAGACCGATTGAAGATTCTGGTAAAGAATCCAGCCAACTGATCAGCACAATCTTTAAGCACTTGGCCAGAGATACTGTCAGGACCGGCAGCCTTTCCAGGATCCACAGCCCTCAGAATGCTCCTCACCACCTGTTCCTCCACAATGAGGTAGGGGCTACAATGGGCTGGTGGCTGTATTTTAGCTGTCTCTGATGTCTCCACTTCAAAGTGAGCAAAGAAATGATTCAGTTCCTCTGCCAACGAAGCATCCCCATCAGCAGGGATGACATTGGTTGGTTGATGGTTGGTAATTTGTTGAATCTCTCACCACACCTGCCTCGTGTTGTTACTATAAAAATTATCCTCAATCTTTCTCTTATAATCAGTCTTGGCCTTCCGAATACCTTTCTTCAGACTAGCTCTGGCAACACTGTATCTTGCCCCATCACCAGACCTAAAGGCCTTGATCCTGTCACGCAAGAGGTGCTGGACTTCCTTGGTCATCCAGGGCTTCTGATTGGGATATATCCTAATACGTTTATCCATAGTAATAGTATCTATGCAGTGTTTGATATAGCACAGAACAGTTGTAGTGTGCTCCTGTAGGTCAGGGTGGTAAAAGATGTCCAAATTTGTGTTCTCAAAACAATCCTGAAGTTGTTAGGAAGCATCTTCTGGCCAAGGTTTCACTGTCTTTATTATAAGCAGAGCCCGTCTCCTAAAAGGGATGTATGCTGGTACTAAAAGCAGTGACATATGGTCTGATTGTCCCAAATGTGATAATTGTATAACCTTATAGCCATGTTTAATGTTGGTATATGCTTTATCCAATATGTTTGCTCCTCTAGTAGCACACTTAACATGCTGATAGAATTTAGGGAGCACTGCTTTTAAATCAGCCTGATTAAAGTCCCCTGCTATAATATGCACAGCATCAGAATACTTATTTTGCTGATTACTAACAATATTGTACAAGAATCCCAAAGCTATGGTAGTATTGGCATCAGGTGGGATATAGACTGCAGTAATCAAAACCACGCTGAACTCCCGTGGAAGATATATGGGTCTACATTTAAGAGTCATATACTCCAGATCCATGGAGCAGTGGCACAATATAAAATTATAAGTATATAAAGCAATAAAAATATAATATAAAAATTACACAATATAAGTGTGGTTTAGCCCTACTCCTAAACATGAAGTATTGTCAAACTTAATAGATTCTTCAGGCACCATATGATTTTAATTCTTCTCCATACTTGTATGTGAATGAGACACAAATGCATTCATTCCCCTGGGTTGTAACACAGTATACTCTCTTCTTTTTTCTTATCACCCAGTAGAAGTTGGATAATGATTTAAATTATTTGCTCTGGAAAAGGATTCTGTTGTACAAATCCTTTATGCATCAATATGCTAACTCTTAACGGTAATCAAAATGGAGGAACCTCACAATTATAATCTTATATCATATCTTCAGTATCATTTATTATAATATTGTGATAGATTTTTTTGAATAGAACGCTCAAGAATTCATGGTGTTAGAAATTACAAGATTCTTCTAAGCCATGGCAATATGATTTTTAAAAATATATTATTCTGTTGGATGGAGAAATCAGAATAAGTAATTTGAGAGTATGGATCAATTCACTGGAGAAGAGACATATGGAATTTATAATTAGTGAAGGGATGTGATATATTCCAGGAAGGAAAGAAACAGCAGATGGCAGGTTTTTCCAAGTTCATATTATCTGAAATTTTGACTTCAGGTTTTTATCTGAAAATATTACTTTGTTAAAATTTTGTGATGGGAGCCTATTGACATTCATGTGTGCTTAGTTATTCAGCCTGTTTACTGTTTATGCTGTAGTAAAAGAAGATCAGTTTTCATAGGTGAACTGATTTCTCATCCAAGCTGAGATGCTATCTGTAAGGCAGCTAAAAGAAACATGCTGGATGTTCAAATTATGCAAGCTTGCCCTATTTCTTTGAAGTTGGGTGCAAAAGCTCCGTTTATGTCAGAGAAGAATCTACTTCATTCTGTAATTGAAGTTTCTTGTTCAGAAACACAGCCAATTTCTTTCTTGCTTTCTCGAGCTGGGGGAAATAACTTGATGACATGGAAGTCTTCATTAGTATCTAATGCTCCAGGTGTGACTGTGAAAGAGAACACATATCAAAGTGTTTTCCTTTGATTTGAGCCCACTGTATTTTTAATTTGAAACTCAGTAGATACCAGTGAAATGAGTACCATGTAGTGTATGCCAGCAAGCAATGGAAAAAAACAGTCGTGATTTACTTTTATTATGTGGGGTTGTGATAGAGCACAAAGTTTCTTATTTCAAGCCAAAAATCTATGTTTTTGACTGAGGAATTCCTTAAACCTGATAAAAATGAAGTGTTTGGAAATACATAGTGCTAATCCAATAGTAGTGCATCCTGTCAGTTCACACCAATAGACAAGCACTTATAAATAGTTATAATTTGTCTTGGTAAGGAGCCACAACCATTGAAAACAACAATGCTGAAACAATGATAGTGTTTGATCAATTGTCTAAGCACATCTCAGATTATTATTAAAACTTTTCCCTGGTTTTTCGAACTGCTAATATTTCTTTATTTGTTTCTAGTAGGGATTATATTTTTCTGGAAATTAAACATATTATTTCTAGAATTTTGGGTAATGCACACAAGCATCCCTTTAAAGTAGGCCATCATTATCCCATGTTACAAGTAGGATATTGAGGTTGGCTGTATAGTAAATCTTTGATTGGGCTGAAATATGAGCTGATGAAGTTTGGCAATAGACAGTTACAGATTACACACACATGACAAATCCAGCAGCATGCAGTTATGAGAAATTGATATATTGAGTCCATTCCATATACATAGGTTTAAATGTGCAGGAAACTGAAGATACTGTCATTCAGAAGTC